AAAAATTTGTCAGTGCTGCAGAGGCTGCTTGAACAACTTACCCACTGCCCAAGAAGGCCATTTCACCTATCTTTCCAAGGTTAGACCTGAGCTGAGATGTGCTTACTGGCTCAGGAAAGTCTTAAGCAGAGGCCAGCACTGCCAGTGGTGCAGAACATATTAATTATGTAGTGCTTTCTGGTGTGGACCACTGCCTGTCAAAGATCAGTAACAAAGATCACTGTATGCATTTCAATTAGGAGACCATGCTCTCTGAAGTGGATTTTTTCCTGTCTCTTTATTCTTTTTTCAGCTTAGCAGTCCAGAGATAGTGCTTCATCTTAGATGTTTTTTCTGTGTCTGGAAAAAGTAAGAGCTAAGAAAATAGCTCTTCAGTGAAGACAAGGATCTAAAATTAATTTCAGATAAATAAAGCAGCAGTTGTGTACTTCTTGCCTTTACAGATGTTTTGGAAACAAATGAAATACAATTTGAAGGTTCCCTTGTCCAGCATCAAGTAAAAATCAACCAATTTACAGTTTCGTAACACTCGCACAACAAATGAAAACAGCCTTGCAGAACGAGTCTTTTGGGCATAACTTATGTAAAGTTCATGGGAGCTTACCTTCCTAACAGTATTTAACAGTACAGTTAGACATGGGTGGAAAGAGAAGACAGTCTGCATATTGGAGGTTAATGGTTCTGTCTGTGACTTGTAGAACCATCACTGACTATTCAGCCTTTGTTTCTATTGCTGAAGGCTTCGAAAAATCATGAAATAGCATGTCCTCAGTATCAGTGAGCAACACCTTGCATTAAACTAGTAGTTTTGATGTAATATTCATTGATTTCTCAAGGATTGAATGTTGAGGATGGCAAACAGAAATATGTTTACAAATGCCACAGGTACGAACATGCTTGTTTATCTCATCGCTCTTGTGCTTTCTCAAGCATTTCTAAGGAGACACTAGCAGCTCTGACATTTGGATGCTGTGGTAACTACATGCTTCTCAGTTTTCTCTTGTCTTTAGGAGTTGGGTCTCTGCTGTATATCACAAAGTCTTAGATTAGCAAATGGAAAAGAAAGGAGCATTAGATAAATGCATATGGTTACCTTTAAAATACTTTTTAGTCTGCCAAATTAAGGGCAGTTAATGACAAAACAAGGGGAAATGGCTTTAAGCTGAAAGAGGGTAGGTTTAGATTAGATATTAGGAAGAAATTCTTCACTGTGAGGGTGGTCAGACACTGGAACAGGTTGCCCAAGGAAGTTGTGGATGCCCCCTCCCTGGAAGTGTTTAAGGCCGGGCTGGGTGAGGCTTTGAGCAACCTGGTCTAGTGGAAGGTGTCCCTGCTGATGGCAGGGGGGTTGGAACTAGATGATCTTTAAGGTCCCTTCCAACCTAAACCATTCTATGATTCTATGAAATGCTGGATGAGAAATTCTGAATCAGTGCATCTGAACCGTCCAACATCTGTTTTTACATGCTGCTTAGGAGTCTGGGATTGAGTGTTGTCTCTGCTTCCAGGGAATGTATCCACTGAAAGTCTGTGTTCAAGAATCTTTCCCTCACTCAGAGTTCTATGTTCCCCATGTAGTCTAAGCCTAATTACCATATTACTTCGGACAGTTTTTACAGGCCTGAACTGAAAAGACTTCCTTTTTTTTCTTCTGGATTTCTTTCCCAGCTGACCAGCTGGGCAACTTTAAAAATATTGGTATGTTGTCTGCATCAAAATTCAGGAGACTGATTTTCAGGATATTGCTTCTTCTGTTGCTTATTTTTATTACTGTCCCAGGTACTTTGGTCATATTGCTGTCTGAGTTATCCTTTTAATGTATTGGCATTTATTTAGTGCAAATAAAGTTATGTCAGACCTGAAACATTTGGATAGTTTGCCCTCTTTGGATGGTAGCAAGTCTTTCCTGTGCTTTCACTTTATCTGGACTTCCCTAATGAACAAGTAGTTTGATCTCTACTGTGAGAAGGCTGGCATCTTATCCAATTGGAATGAAATGAAGGACATAGGTTGTTGTTGTTGACAATACACAGTAACTTAGTTCTTGACAGCTTTGATCTGAGCAGGAAAATGAATATATTGGACAATAAATATATGTCTTACTGTGAAACATGAAAAGTTAGGGAGATTGTGCAGTATCTTAATGCACTGATATTTCTTCTGTAAAGATGTAATTCTGGTTATACACCCAAATAAAAGCAAGTTTGTTCCTCTTCTGTTCCTTCAGATGCTTCTGGAGTTCACAAAAAAATCCACACAATTTTAAAGAATTCAGCATGCTTGGGAATATCTGGTTCAAGACAGGACCCCTTAGCACGTCAGGGTTGGCCTACATAGGCAGAAAGGCTGGAAAAGCTGCTTTGGCTTCACCTGTACCTTGTGCTTTGTTCAAACTTCTACTGTTAATCTCTCATTTTTCTGTGCACCCAAGTTATACAACAGATACTCACATAAATTTACCTGTTCCCTGAACTCTCTTGATCCAAATTACCAATTCTTTCTTTCTATGTGAAGTGCTGTCTCTTAGAATTTCGGAAGACAGGACCAATCCCACAAGCCTCCAGTTTTTGAAGGAATCAAGTGTTTTGATAAAAAGATGGCTGTGAAAAGAAATAGTGTTCCCCCTCTAGCAATGGTCCTTAACTTTTGAGAGTTTCTAGTATTTTTAGAGCGTACTTTAAAGAGAATGTGTTATCCCAGTAACACTGCTCACAGACAACTGAGAAAAAGATCCATATAGCATTTCATAACACTGTAAATTTTGTTGAATTTCTGAGTGTGTTATTTGAACCGATCACATAAAAACTTCTAATAAACTCTTTCCACAGAAACTGAAACAGAAGAATCAGCAGCTGAAGCAGATCATGGATCAGTTACGGAATCTCATTTGGGACATAAATGCCATGTTGGCAATGCGGAACTGAACAAGGAAAATCAAACTTTGTAATTGGAAAAAAAAATTGTTCGGATATACTTAATTTCCTTCTAAGAAATGACATGTTTTCGCACAACCATATTGCAGTAATGTTTGAAAAGTCTTCAAGATTAAAGTATTGGGGTTTTTTGTAATACATTAGTGTGGCTTTTTTTTTATAAAAGATTCATCCTACAGGTTTTACTTGAGTGATTCAGTTAGGCTGGATATAATACAGCTTAAGTAACTTACAGTAATAATTTGGATTGCTATGCAAATAGAGGTTTTCATATAATGAACTGTTTGTGGATATTTTTTTTTATAGTACAGTTAACACGGTTTTAAAAACGTGTTTAAATGCCATTCTGCAGTGCAAACCATCTCTACAGACAGGAAAAGCTGCAATACAGGAAAGTCATTCTAGCAAGCCACAAGACCAAAATAAGTGATCGAATATTACAGTGCAGTATGTTTCCTCATTGTGGGAACATACACTACAGGCTACTCTGCCATATAATTAATCTTATTCCATATCCTGTCACTGGGTATATGTTGTATTGGATAATCAGAGCAAAATTCAAAAGCTACATAAAATTACCTTTATGGATATAATTAAGTCTTTTTAAGTGAAGACTACATACATATATCCTCAACATAAACAACTTCTGTAACTACATGTTACAATTACTTGAGTACTGCTCCAGCTATTGTATAGTGTAGTATTCTTACAACATTATGTATGGTTGGAATACTTTGCTTTCTTTACCAGAATGCACTGAACAAATGCCTCATTAATCTTTTCGCTCTGACTGACAGTTCTAGAAAACCTTTGAGTATATAAGCCGTTCATTATTTTGAATTAATCATCAACCTCCATCTTTCTTTTTTCTGCCTCTGGTATTCCTCACAATTTTCATCAGCACTGAAAAATATTCTTAGTAAGTTTTGTTACCCGCAGATGCTGCTGGTGGACTATGTGTCTCTTTTTCCAGATGAAAGAATATGTAAAATACTGTTTCAGTGCAAATCCGTAAGACCTTCTGCTGCTAATATTTGTCAACTTGAAAACTGACCATCCTCATGATTTGCTTTTTGTATATTACTTTTAACTCTCATTCCATACCCAGTCAGATTCCTTAATAGTTTTGTGTGGAAAATTTACTCAGAACCTTCTGAAGATTCCAGTTAAATGGTAGTATCCTTTTAGAAGATACCCTTTTTACAATACAGGGTTTTGATACTGAATTCTCATTGATTTGGGATGTGTGGTTTTAAAGATGTTAAACTGATTTGTTTTTCTATTAGTCTTCTTTTATTTTGTTTTTTGATAATTTCAACCAATTTGTCTGCTCCTTGAGGTAAAAATCGCTGGCTTGTAATAGATATGATCGCACTTGATTAACAATGTATGACTTTCCCCTGAAATTACATACAATTCAGTTCTCTTTTATTTCTCTTTTTGAAGACTTTAAGTCTAACAGATTAATGGATGCCCAGTCTTATAATTGCAAATAAACAGAGTTAGAAAAAGTTCATTTTATTAGTTTACCCAATGTTGAAAGTGATACGGAACTATGGCAATACGTAGATGTGAGTAGATGTCAAAACACCTTACAAATAGGGTCACTTTCTTTTCTCCCTTGTTACAAATGGGAGAGTGGAGAGCTCGCTCAGTGTCAAAGCTGGCAGCAGAACTGTTTGTTTACCGTTTAGATGGAGCACTCTTGGTCAAGAATAATGGTTGATTTCTGCAGCTGTGAGAGAGATTACTATTTTGCATTATAAGTCAAGACAAAACTGAATTTTGAATAAAGCTTTTGAAAAGGAGATTAAGGCTGCAAGTAGAGATTTTATTTTGTTGTTTAAGATGCAGGCATGTTTTTGTATTTGCAGGACGTAACGACAGCTTTCTGTTTAGTGTATGTATAAGCATGCATCCAGCCTGGAAGAAGTATTTGAAGTGGATTTTGAAATGGCACCAAGGTCTTAATTGTGAGTGTAAAATTCTAAGTATTGTGGTCTATTTTTGGAAAAAATATGGAAAATTGAGATTAGCCTAGACTTTACTGCCTGGATACTATCTATGTATTCTTGCTAAGCGTTTTTAAAGTTTGTTGACTTTTTTAATTGCAATAAACTGCCCAGAAGTATCCTAAAATGTGAATAAGAGTGCAAATATTCCAACTAGATATCTGAGCAGTACAATATTCAGCTGACTCTGTGCAACTGCTAGCAGTAGCCAAGGTTTATACCTCAATTTTTCATCTGGGAGAGTGGAGAAAACACTTTAAACCGCTACCAGAATAGATAGCACAGTAGCTAAATTGCAAAATGCAGAAATTGACAGAATTGTAAATTATCACAGTAAATACTGTCAAAACAGGAACTTTAGGAGGATTTGGACCCAAACCGTACACTTTGACTTGCACAGATTAAAGTAAGGGTAGTGAACATAATTCATATACTACCGTATTCATGAATTAGTACAGGACTTGGCCAAGTAGATGACAGTTTTAAAGAAAGTGGCAATTCCTTAGCTGTGAATCGCTTCTAAAGGAGTTACTGGGCATCAACATGTGCTGAAATTTAATATTTTAGTTATTGCTAACTGAACTTTTAACTGCTGGTTAATGAATTGGCACCAAATGAAGTTTTTCCAAATACCAGCAAAGCAATACCAACACAGATGTTTCAATGTTTTGTTTATATATCATTGACTATTTCTGTATTTCTGATTAGGCAGAAGCTGGGTAAACATACAGACAGTCCCAGGAGCAGATACTAGAACCTAGGATGGTGCCATTTTTTGAATATAAAAATACCTGAGGGGTTTGGGGGTCTTAGGGCTCTATTTTGCCCAGGCAGTAGAGCTAGGATGCAGAGTACTTTGTAGTTTGTGGGAGCATTCCGAGTTAACACATAGTCTCAAAATGAAACTGTTAATCCAGCACCTTTGTAGACAATATAACAGATGTTGAATGTTCAGTTCAGTGTCACAACACAGAAGATGTCTGCTAGGCGCTATGCAAAGGTCTAAGGTTTTTCTCACATAAAAAGACAAGAGTGCGGAGCAGATTTATGCATGTTCAGAAAAGATGCAAGGAATTTACTTTTCCACTTCTCTTCTGTAGAGGCAGCAAGGCCACATCCAGAGTGCTCTAACAAACCATGACCATTTTTGTTGTCCTGTAGAAAAAAAACCAAACCTGCTCTTATTATAGTATTTCTTACTGATGGAGAAATTTGAACTTGTACACAAGAACTACTTAAATTAATGACTATAAAGAATGAATTTAGGTGGAGTAGGACAAGGATTCTGGTCTCATAGGAACCAAGATTTCATCCATGTGCAAGATGGCTTGACAAGCCAACAAGGCCACAGCTGAAGGATGACTGACAACTACTGTGGAAAACAGTATGCTCCGGATGTAGATTTGAAGATCTGAAGTTAAGAAAAAACATCAAAGAAAAGATGCAGTGACACCCAAGAACACTGTGAGTCAGTTGAGGTTTACAGAGGATGGATTAGTTTAATTACTTCATGCTAACAAGGGAAATGGGGAATTATAAAGGAATTTACAAATACATCAGTGCAGAAAAAATATTTGGGGAAGAAAGTGAGTAGTTTGCTCACTTTCCTTATTTAATAGAAACGGAGACTGATGTGGTAGAGCAGCAGGTCTTTAAAAGATAAGGTTTTTTGCTGAGTCAGAAGGTTACTCTATTTTTATACCTAAAAATAGCAAGCTGGCTGATATGTATTGCAGAATATTAATAGAAATGACAAAAAATATTTACCAATGCTAGTTTTCATTTAGGAAAATGTAATGGATAACTGGAATGTAAGAGGTCAATAAATGCAATATAGTGAAACTGTTCTGTTAAATCAAACTTGTGTAAATTTAAAGGATTTTTCTTAAATTGCATAAGGGATGCATTCTGGCATCTGTTACAGCACTGCACAGCAAATAACACTACTAGAATCTAGTGTCTGTATTGATGTGAATACCATCAGAAGCAGAATACCTGTTTTGCAGCACTTCTCCCTGGACTAGGTCCAGTAAATACCACGGACATAGATGAGGCGAATAAGCAGAGACCTATTTTCAGGTGTGCACTTAACTCTGGGAGCACCCCAGCCTGTTGTATGCCTTCCTGTTCAACTTGCAAGCTACCTAAGTGCTTAGAATTCTGCTTCTGCATGTGTTCCCAGCCCCTGGTGATACCTGTTCATCACGCCTGAGGCTGTATAAACTCAGTGATTTTTCTGCCCAAATCCTGTAGGAGACCTGATGGGCCAGGCCCTCTTTGGCCCCTCATGCTCTCACTTTCCCTTCTCAGATGACTGCCCCTACTACAAAGCTGTAGAGCACTGTTCTGGAATAGAGTTGAATATGAGTGGCTGAAAGGAATGAATTACATACGTGCCTGTGATAAAATCCTTTCCTAGGTCTGTGTGTGTTTTCTCATGAAATCTTCCTTCAAAAATAAATTCAGATTTGCCTAAATAGGAAGAAAGATAGGTGATTTTAAAGTTGTCTGAGTAGCAATGGGTATCAATGTTGTTTTTATAGCCGTGTAGAGGTTTTAGCGATATTTACAGTCCTGGAGAGGCGGGAAGAGGTTCATGAAGACAGTCCATTACTGAAATACATTGTTGAAGTGGGAAGACTTTCAAATAATAAGGGGAAAATATAAAGAAATATAACAGCAACAATCAAAACTTAGGTGAGCACGAACTGACAATAAAGTAGAGGCAAGGAAAGAAGATTTGGAAAAACACATTTTAAACCTGCATTAAAGAGATAATTGGCATGCAGTGAGAGGAAAAAAGCCACTGCAATTTTGAGGTACACGACCAAGTGTTGCGTAGTAGGGAGTGTAAGTGTGAGAGCTCTTGCTGAGACCAGTAATTCTGATAGAGTAATTCTTCATGAAATTCTGCATTATTCTGGGGGTCAGCATGTTACTAACACAGTGAAAGAGAAGAATATTGATGTGCTACCATATGAATAATCATTAGAATAACTTGTGACAAGGCTCAAATGTAGAAATTTTTGGGTAGATGCAAAGGGGGGGCCATTAGGGTGATTTGGGG